CAAGTTTAAGATAAGTGTTTTTACATAAAGAAATTTCAGAATTAAAATGATAATCAAAAAATTTTCTATTTTTGTGATCATTAACTATTTTTTATTATTAGAAAAAACTAATAATTGATCCATTAAAACAAAATCTAACTGTGCTTTTTCTAAACTTCGAAATTCCAAATATCTTTTGAGAAAAGTTTTAAATCTAACTTTTTCAAAACATTTTTCTTTTTTGTTATGACAAATACAATCTCTCTTTATTTTTTTGGTCTTAGTTAACAATAATAGGAATGTATGAAACTATTGAAGTTAGTTTTATGGTTCTGGAGTATACAAAATTTTTACCAGATGGATATTTTGGTAATATTAAAGCTCTTTTTCGAAAAATGCGAGTTAATACAGTAGATAATGTTGAAAAGATAGTAAAAAAGTCCACTAAAAATAATTCTAATCATGCTATTCACTATAATAATGGAAATGAATGGTTATATTATGATTTTAAATCATTTTTAAAACCTCATTTTCAAAATTTACCTGGTATTCAAAACATTAACATTTTTGGTTTAAAAGAAGTGAACCAGGAAAAATATTTACTCAAAAAGAGATAGAAGGAAATTTCAATGTTTTGATATTTTAAAAAACAAATATTTCAATGTTTGGGTTCCAATAGCTATATTTTCTTCTAAACCTTTATTATTAGTGCGTCAAGAATATTTGTTGATGAACTATTTCAGGATATCATGTATCTTAAACCAATAGTTAGATAGATTATAATTTTTTTAAAAAAAAAGTAAAAATAAATAAAATTTATGATTTTTATAAGCTTTTTTAGTACTATTCTAAAAACTCTATATAATAAAATCATTTAAAGTTTCAGAATTGGAGTAGTAAATAATCATTGCAATGATAATGCCAGAAAAAAAGTGACGAAAGTTTGAAATGAGGTGGAAATGTGTGTATACGATAAATTGTATTGAATTCTAGATTATACTAGTTCAAGGTCTGAATGACAAGTATGTGAAATTTAAGATTGAACGAATAAAAATTGGAAAAGATAGATCAGGACGCTCAAAATATATTATTTGTGAATTTACCAAGTAAATTTTTGGACTAGCTGATGATTGTCTTGATCGTTTTCTTAAATATAAGTGTTCTAATTTTAGATTGGTCGATCTTTTTCAGTGACAAAATTTTCAATCAAAATAAATCAATAATTTATTATACTTGCATAACTTAAAAAATCAAATTTTGTATAATTGTATATGTCTAGTTTATGTTTATCAAAAAAAAATTTTTTTTGACAGGGGATTCTGGAAGTACATTTTGCTAGTCCATGACCTATATTACAATTAGCATATAATAAACAACTTGTTTGAAGAGATCTTCTTAAAACTACCAAATCATTTAACTTTTAAAATTTACAAATATTTTTAAGAAGTGAGTGAATGTTTTATGTGAGACAGAAATTCAAAAACGTTAGTAATGTCATATAGTTAGCTTATATATGCAAAGTCAAAAAGTTCAAAAAAGCATATAAAATTTTGTCGATCAAATGATCGACATCTATATAAATGTTATTTGCTATGACCAACATGCGATGTATGATAAATTTTATAGAAAATTTACATTTGCACAGTACGTTATACAGTATAAGATAAAACAAATCAGAACTTTTTAAATACATATTATGCAAAAACTAATGACACTAACTAAATAAAATTTATATATATTTGAAGCTAAAAACTAGCTAATTTTATTAATATTTTTTTAGAACAGAATTCATTTACTATTATTTTCTATAATAAGTTCATATCGGCGTTTCATTGATCCTACTAATCCAATTAGGGTTGATTCTGAAATATCGTCCCATTTTTTGGTTATATATCAGCGCAAATCATAAGTATTCTTTAGCATTTTCTTCTCCACATTCCTTTTAACAATACTCTAAAGGTTTTCTATCAGATTTAGGTCTGGACTGTTAGAAGGTCAGTCAATAACTTTAGGAAAATTTTTTCCTGAAGAAATTTTTTGGCATGATTGTTAGTGTGTTTCAGATCATTATCTTGCTAAAAATGCCATTCATCTCCCAACAAGTCTTTAATCTCTGGAAGGTGGCTATGGAGTATATTTACATAAAATTCAGTATTTATTATTTGAGAAAAATAATATAAACTTGTTTTTCTTTTTACATAAAATCCTTCCTATGCAAAGATTTTCATTCGATCTTTAGACATAAGGCGTATCAATCATTATCCTTTATGCTAACGCTCTACAGTATTCTGGAACAGTTGGAAGGCAGTTTCATCTGAAAATAGAGTTTTATCCCAATCATCATTAAGATGATTTTGGCCCATTCTACCCATTTACATTTATGGTCTGCGGTCAATATTGGCGTTGCTCTTAAAAGGTCTTTTTGGTATCTAATTTTGGCTAAATGCCTTCCTACTATTCTATAGGACACATTCACACCTTTCAATGACAACTTCATTGACAGGGTCCTTGTTAAAATAGAAGAATCTCAGCAGACAAATTGGGCTAAAACTCTTGATGCATTAGCTATAATCTTTTTTAGACGACCACTTCCTTTTACACGCTAAATCATCTCAGACTTACGAAGCTTGTTAAGGTTGTCGTATATAGTTGTGAGGGAAATTCCAGTGTGTTGATGGATTTTCCTAGCCTTCTGAATACCCTGATTCCATAATTGTAAGATCGCTTGACGGTTAGTTTCTTGTCTGGAGGTCATCGTTTCTAATTAATTGATTTTTAGAGTTTTTTAAAAAAAATTGAAGATATTGAGGGGAGGAAATGAAAAAAAATTTTTAATATTTAGTAATACAAAAAAAAAATTATATACTCACTTACCTTACGATTATTTTCCTTTTTACATAGTTCAGATCGGACTTGATTTGGCTGAGATCTGCATCTTTTTATTTCTCAAAAAAATCCCGGTTTTTTTTGTCTCACACTGTATAAAATAAATCTATTCATCTAACAAGCTAATGTTCTTTGGGACCGTGAATGAAATTTTTTATATTAATACTCAGTAACCCTTGTATTTAATATGATATAAATCTATACATTTTTTACTTTTACTTTTTTATTTTTTAGCAAAACTTATGATCAAAAAAGTCATTGCGCCGCAATAAAATCGAATTGAAACTTTATCATTTTAAAATAATTTATCATACATCATAAATAAAAATCACAAAGATTAATAAATTAAATTTTAAATAATAAAATAAAATTTAGCTTTACGAATGATGCAGTAAAAATGTTTCAAGTTTCATAATTTGAAAGTATATAAATAGCAAAAGAATTTACAAATTTAAATTTATGAAACTTATCAATCATCAAATGTTGCTTTAATGCTTATCTTGCCTGACCTTAGATCTGACTCTAGCGCTATGTGTATTTATAAAAAACTAAGTATTTATGCTTCATGTTTTTATTTATTATTACTATCAGACTTTGTTATAAATTTATAAGAAAAAAATTTTTAACCAAAGTTATCTTGTATATTAAAATTTTAAATAAAATAACTACGTAAGTTTGTGTGTTTATAATCTTTAATAATGATGATAATTGGATTGACAACATAAATATTTTAAAACTTGGAAAATTTTTTTTATTCTAATTGGATAAAAACAATCAATTTTTTTTTTTGTGTTCAAGCTATCTTTAAAATTAATTATATTTTTCGTCTTTAATGAATTTTTTTTTTGAGTTTCATAATATTATGCAAGTATTATTAACCGGAGCTCAACTAAATTACCAATATTTGGGTTTAATTTAATTTTTTTTAATATAAAAATAGCATTTTTATTTTTTTTTTAAAAAAAAAGAAAAGTTGATGAATATTATCGATACTAAAAATTGTATTCACGTTTGACCTATTATTGACATTGAAATTGTTTTTTTTCACATTTGCGATTATGGGTTATATTCCAACCAGTCTTCGTAGTATTAGTTGAACATATATCAAAGGTATCTCGAAGAAAATTAAGTTCTTTTATTTGTCCATCTGAGGCACCTATTATACACTTATCATCTCCGATTGTTGGACAATAAATATGACCAGAATCACAAGGTTGTCCGCAAAATGAAGGTTTTGGGTCACA